ACAAATGCAATGTTAGGCTGAATCAACTAAATATTTCATTTACCCCCTCCCCTAATTCAATCAACTTTGGACGCAAATGACAACCAAATGCCAACTACGTGAAATACGTGCGTGGATGCCAATGACATCATTACACAAATGACTCCCACCATAACAAATGACCTAAATTGCTACAAAGGGCATACTGTGGCTATCAGGAATAAGGGACGTTCCCCTCTCCCAATCAGCGCACTAAATAAATGGTTCATTGAAATATCCACATCTCAAGAAGGACATTATTCCATTTTATTCTGCTTTGATCAGATCCCACCTTGAGGACTGTAGCTAATTCTGGGCATCTTTTCTTAAGGACTCAGAGAAACCAGACCAGATTCAGAGAAGGGCAAGGAAGAGGGGCAGAGGGGACTACAAAACAAGTCCAATAAAGAGAAATTAACAGCTATGTTTAGCCTTGAGAAGATATGAAAGCACTCTTTTAACTCCCTGAGGGGGTGTTGTACAGGCCTGTTCCTCTCTTTACAGAATGCAGTATCTAGAACAGTGGTGGTGAACCTATGGCATGCATGCCAGAGGTGGCACTCAAGAGCCCTCTCTGTGGGCACGTGCGCCAGCCCCACCTCCCCCCGCGGCCTCCTCACCAGCAGACTCCCTGGAGAGTCGCCACCGAGTGCAGCCCGTGCAGAGCAGCGCAGCCAAGGACATGGCAGCCAGGCAGCGGGATGCTGCGGGGTGCGGGCAGAGGGGGTGGCTGCCATGGCCTGCTGCGCCACTTGGGCGATTTGCGGCAGGCCGTGGAGGCGGTGGGTGGCCCTGAGGGTGGGCGGAGCAGGCTGGGGCATGTCCGGGTTTGGGGCACTCGATCTCTAAAAGGTTCACCATCACTGGTCTAGATTCTAGAATACACTCAGCTTACGACCACAATTGAGCCCCAAATTTATGTTGCTAAGCAAGAAAGTAACCTTTCTTGCCACAGTAGTTAAGTGAATCACCGCGGCTGTTAAGTTACTAACACGGCCGTTAAGTGAATCTGGCTTCCCCGTTGACTTTGCTTGTCAGAAAGTCACTAAATGGGATCACATGACCCCGGGAGATTGCAATTGTCACGAGCCAGTTGCCCAGCCTCTGAATTTTGATCGCGTGACCATGGGGATGCTGGAACGGTCGTAAAGGTGACAAACGGTCCTGAGTCACTTTTTCCAGTGCCGTTGTAACTTTGAACACGGTCACTAAATGAACTGTTGTAAGTCGAGGACTACCTGTAATATGTTTTAAGTTACAAGAAGGCACAGTCTGACCAAATCTGGGCAGTGGAGGAAAGGAAACTTCCTATTACAGACAGTCGTTGACTTACAACTACTCCTTTAATGACTGTTTGAAGTTACAAAAGCGCTGGGAAAAAATGACTTACGAACAAACGTTTTTCACACTTACCACCATTTCAGCATCCCCATGGTCACATGATTAAAATATGGATGCTTGGCAACTGGAATGTATTCGTGACGGCTGCAGCATCCCGGGGTCACGCGGTCACCTTTTGCAACCTCCTGGCAAGCAAAATCAACAGGGAAGCCCGATTTGCTTAACCACCATATTAATTTAACTGCAATGGTTCACTTAACAACTCTCTCACTTATTGACAGAAACCCTGAGCTCGATTACTGTTGTAAGTCGAGGACTACCTGTACTAAGAAAAAAGTTTGGTAGTGGCACCAGTCACTCAAAGAACCGGTAGGATCTCCTTTCTTAGCTGTGTGCAATTTAAGAGTCCTGCAAGGAACCAGGGAATTAGCCTCCTTAGCCTAAATAGCTCCTGCCAAGTCTACGGTGCTATATGAGTAAAACTTGCTAGATCACACAGGCTTCTGAGGCAAATTATTTGGAGTGACACAATGGAAGACATTCTCACCATGGCAACAGCAGGGCGCCAAGCAGGTCTCCTCATGCCACGATAGCTGGTTCTGTCTTGAAAAGAGTATGTCCCTCAAGTTCTCTAGGCCGCAGGGGTAGGCAACCTCGGCTCTGTTATGACTCGTGGACTTCAACTCCCAGAATTCCTGAGTCAGCTATGCTGACTCAGGAATTCTGGGAGTTGAAGTCCACGAGTCATAACAAAGCCGAGGTTGCCTACCCCTGTGCTAGGGTGTCAAATGAAACTCTACCACGTAGGCCGAGTGTGGACAGAAAAAGGGTTTTCATCCCCAAAGAAACTAGATGAAAGGCACCTTTTTCAAGCCCTGCCTTCCCTCCCTCTTCAACGCCCATAATTTCAAACCAGTTTGCCTGGATTTCGGGAGACGTTAGGTTTCTACATCCAGAAGGCATCAAGTCGGGAAAGGATGACAGAGGGCTTTAAAGCTCTTCCTGGGAATGCAATGCTACAAAGTTAAGCACGTTTTTCATCTGGGAAAAGGCGGAGAGGCCAGAGAAGACAAAAGAAGCCCTGCGTGATATATACAGGTAGTCCTCGACTTACAAACCATTCGTTTGGTGACTGTTCAAAGTCACAACGTTGAAAAAGAAAACGACCTGTGATCATTTTTCACCCTCACCACCCTCGCGGCCGTCCCCATGATCACGTGATCAAAAATTGGCAACTGGCTGCAGTGTCCCGGGGTCATGTGATCACCACCTTTTGGGAACATCTGACAAGCAAAATCAACGGAGGAAGCCAGGTTCACTTAGCAAACCTACTTTTAACTTAACATCTGTCGCGGCAAGCGAGGTTGTAAAATGGGGCAAAATGTTTCTCTTAACAAGTGTCTTGCATGGCAAAAGAACCTTTGGGTTGGTAAGTCGAGAACTACCTGTAAAGAAAAAAGATACAAGACCAATTTTCTCTCTTTCTGAAAACATGATACGGAATATATATGAGTCAGGTGCCAAGCCTCTGAATTTTGATCACGTGACCCTGGGGATGCTGCAACAGTCGTAAGTGTGAAAAATGGTCATAAGCAGTGCTTTTTTCTAAAAAAAAAAAAGGTGCCGGAACTCACACACATCATACAACCCGCCTTGCCTACCCTACAAGGTTTTATCCAAAAAAGGTGCCGGAACTCCGTTCTGGACGTTCTCTGAGAAAAAAAGCCCTGGTCATAAGTCATTTCTTTAAGTGCTGTTATAACTTTGGACAGTCACTAAATGAACTGTTGTAAGTCGAGGACTACCTGTATAAAGAAGTTGCTTCTGATTTTGTTCACAGCAGTTATAATTAAAATTATAATTTAACCACTCTCTAAAATTACCTAATGTTTCTCTCCTTTCTGTAATCTAGTCCAGGGGTAGGCAACCTTGGCTCTTTTATGACTCGTGGACTTCAACTCCCAGAATTTCTGAGCCAAGGTTGCCTACTTCTGATCTAGTCCCGGGGTGTCAAACACAAAACAGGGAACACGGGATGTGGGGACCATCCCCACCACAACAGAGAATGACCTATCAGAGACACAGTAGCCTGATACCTAGTCCTTGAGAATTGTGTTGTTCCCAAACACGGATGAGCCATTTTGGCCATTATTGAGCGGCCAGCTTCCAATCCTGCCAGAATCAAAAACATGGTTATATGTTGGGATGGAGGGCGCGCGTGTCTGGGGGGTGGGTCCCCACTAAACCAAATTAAACTTTGAAACACAGCTGTTTAGATTACAGACCTCCTTTTTCGCTCTTGGGAGAAACCCCATGAGCTCCAAGAAAGAAGAGCTTGCCTTCCACCAAACATATGTTTCAGATATACCTGATTTATGGTTCCTTATACACCCATTGGCACTGGGCAGGCCTGGATCAAGAGGCAGAGGCAGCAAAAGCAGGCTCGGCTTCATTTCAGGATCCCCCAAAGTGCTCAACTTATAAAGCTTTTGGGGGAAAGTACACAGAGACACAACACACACACACACAAACTGTAAAAAGATCAGGATGCCGTCTAAGCCAGCCTCTTCTCATCTTTCCAGACCACCGCAAGTTCGGAGAAACGATTCCCTTTTCTCTCTCCCCCCCCCCCTTCCAATAAAGGAGAAGGGAGAAAGTTTCACTGGATAATCAGGCAGCTCCGGGGAAGGGGGGGGGGGAGAGAGAGAGAGAAAGACAAGGATGCAACAAAGACGAGGATGCAACTTTCCCAAACAAGTTGAAACACGACGGGCGAACGAGTCCGCGGCGCTGAAGACAGGCAAGGCGGCAGTAAAAAAAAAAAAAAAAATGCCAGGCGAAGGTTGCCTTGAAACATCGGGAGGGCCCCAAAAAATGGGATTTTAATTGCAGGCTGAACCGACGTCGGTTTAAAAAGAATTGAATTGAACCGCCGCCACTGGCGAAAAGAAGACGCGAAGGGGCGAAGGGAGAGAAGTGGGCGGTCGGGACGGGGGGGGGNCGAGCGAGCCTAACGTGCCTGGCCGATCGCCTCGCCGCCTTCTCTCGGAGTCGAACTCGCGCGCTCCCTTTTGTTATGAACAGCCCACCAGCCAGAAACGTGCCACGGTCACCGCCGGGCTCTGCTCAAAAACAGGCAACCCCAAGCCAGCGCCTTGGGTACACCGGCCTCCAGAACCGAGACTCAATATTCACAACAGAAAAAAAAAGAAGAAAAAAACCCCCAAATAGCCCGAAGATCACGGAAGAAGTTGCCACAGGAGCATTTATTATTTTTTTTTTAAATCGTTATGGATGAAAAAAAAAAAGGGAGAAATCGATATCATCCTAAGTAGGCGGGGGCGAGAGAGAGAGAGAGGGGGGGGGCGAAATTTGATATCCCTTTCTTAAATCGAAAGCAGAGACTTTAAAAAAAGAAAAAAAGTTGCTGCCCGAAGTAAGTTTTTTCTTCTTTCAAGCGGAGAGTTAAAGGGGGGTGAAAGTCAAAACAAGAGAAGGCAGGAGAGACTTCATTCATTTAATAAAAAAAAAAAGGGGGGGGGGAAGGGAGGAAGGAAGGAAGGTGGGAAAAAAAGGTGCCCGGAGAGAAGAAACGGGAGAGGTTTTAATTCAGACGAGAAGCAAGTGTGTGTGGTCCTTACCTTGCTTTTCACTTCCACCGCGCTATAACCGAAATACCGCAGACTCTGCGATTTATTAAAACTCCGATTCATTTTCTTTGCCCCCGCTAAATAACCCCCCGTCTTTCTCCTCCTCTTCGCCCCCCCTCAAGAAGGGCTGCAAGATCCACCGCCTCCGTGAGAAACTGCCACTCGGGCAGCCGTTTGTAAAAGGCTGCCTCGACCCCTGGAATGTAACTTCTTCGGAACGCTCAGCCTCCCAAGATTCTTTTACTTTCCCCCGGCGCGTTAATCTCAACGCCCGCCTAGCTCGGCTCTCCGGGCTTCTGGTTGTTACAATCGCTTTCAGGCAAGCTCGCAACGCGCCTCTGACTCAATAGGAAGGCGGCCTCAGGACGTAGCCAGCCCCGCCTCCCCACCAACCTCCTCCCTTTAAGCTCTGCCCGTTTCAAACGCAGGAGCGAGTTCCCCCCCCGAGCCACCAGAGGGCGCGCGCCGTGCTTTTTGCGGTTAATGACATAATTTGTCAGCTAACGACCTAATTGGCTGCTTAGCGGCTTATAATGGGCTGTATCGTAAAGAGGCCTTTAAAAAGCCCGGCTATATTAATTGCTGCGAAGAGACTTTTTTTTTTTTAAAGCAAGGATCTCGAAACTTGACAACTTTAAGACTTGTGGAGTTTTAACTCCCAGAATTTCCCAGCCCGGTATATGCTGGCTGGGGAATTCTGGGAGTTGAAGTCCACAAGTCTTAAAGTTGCTAAATTTGGAGACTCCCGTTTTAAAGCATACCCACAGGTCTGTTGTTGTTTGGCTAGGGTTTTGTTTGTGTGAAGAAGGTGAAAAGTATCCACGTATTGCAACTTTTATTTCAAACCTTTTTAGAGTGTTACATTTGAATTAGGGAAAATAGCTCCAGATGATACAAATAAAGGAGTAAGTCACACTTACAAAGTGCAAAGTATCCTATTTTCAAATTAACGCAAGCTTGATTCTAATATTATCTGAGAGGGGCAGACTTGTATGGATTAACTGCATTCGCGAAATTCAAATTTATTTATTTATTTATTTATTTATTAAATTTATATACCGCCCTATCTCCCTTACGGGACTCAGGACGGTGAACAGGCGATACTAAAAACCACAATAATAAATAAATAATTTCTATGCTAAAATCAAATTAAATGACAGGCCTGTTCTAAAAACACCCCATACAAAACCCCCACTAAAACATAATCAAACTTAATCAAACTACGCCAGGCCGGCCGCACGGAATAGATGGGCCTTCAGGGCTCGGCGAAAAAGGCGCAGGTCCGCAACTGTACGTAGGTCGGGGGGTAGGTCATTCCAGAGGGCAGGAGCCCTATCTGTATAACAACAATTCTTGTTGTTATACAGATAGTCCTTGACTTATGACCACAATTGAGCCCAAAATTTCTGTTGCTAAGTGAGACATTTGTTAAGTGAGTTTTGCCCCACTTTACAACTTTTCTTGCCTCAGTTGTTAAGTGAATCCCTGCAATTGTTAAATTAGTAACACAGTTAAGGGTATCCAGCTTTCCCATTGACTTTGTCAGGTCGCAAAAGATGATCACATGACTCCAGGACACTGAATTTTCCAGTCCAGTATACGGTGGCTGGGGAATTCTGGGAGTTGAAGTCCACAACCCTTAAAGTTGCTAAATTTGGAGACTCCCGTTTTAAAGCATACCCACAGATCTGTTGTTGTTTGGCTACGGTTTTGTTTGTGTTAAGAAGGTGAAAAGTATCCACGTATTGCAACTTTTATTTCAAACCTTTTTAGAGTGTGGGTGTGTATTTTCTAGAGATGCATTTGGGCCAATCCAATTCCCTAGCTCCTAGCTGTCTGAGGAAATCCTGATTTTCTCCATTTTGCTAAAAACCTTAAAGGAACAAAACAAAACTGCAATGTGTGAGAGGGGGAGAATTTCCATATGGATGCTTAGATTACTATATGCAGATGAAGCATAATATTACATGCTATTTATAGCATTATTTATTTAAAAGTATGGACGGCGAATTCAGTCATCAGAGACTGAAACAAAATTTAGAATACAATGCACATATTTACATCCATTAGGGAAAATAGCTCCAGATGATACAAATAAAGGAGTAAGTCACACTTACAAAGTGCAAAGTATCCTATTTTCAAATTAACGCAAGCTTGATTCTAATATTATCTGAGAGGGGCAGACTTGTATGGATTAACTGCATTCACGAAATTCAAATTCTTGTTGTTATACAGATAGTCCTTGACTTATGACCACAATTGAGCCCAAAATTTCTGTTGCTAAGTGAGACATTTGTTAAGTGAGTTTTGCCCCACTTTACAACTTTTCTTGCCTCAGTTGTTAAGTGAATCCCTGCAATTGTTAAATTAGTAACACAGTTGTTAAGGGTATCCAGCTTCCCCACTGACTTTGTCAGGTCGCAAAAGATAATCACATGACTCCAAGACACTGCAACTGTCCTAAAAATGAGTCAGGTGCCAAGCTTCTAAAATTTGATCACGTGACCACGGGGATATTGCTATCGTCAATGCTGTTGTAACTTCAAACTGTCGCTAAATGAACTGTTGTAGGTTGAGGATTACCTGTATAAATAATAACTCTGGGGACCCCTGAGCAGTGCTGAGAGTGTGAGGCTAGGGAAGGGAGCATTTGATTTTTCTTTTTCTGCCACTATTTTAACACATACAGATATGCCTCCAGAATTACCATGACATTTTAAAGAAAGTCTGGTGCTGATGGGGATTTCTCTTTAAATGAAGATACTGTACATAACTGTTTCAGAGAAACAGCTGTTATTCTGACACTGCACTGGCACAGGAAGAAGACAAGAAAAGGTTTTGGAGAAAACCTTTTGCTTGTTCAGCATAACTGATACGGTACTGTAAGATTTTGCAATGTGGTTTTTTTTTGGCAGAGGATGTCATGATAAGTTTACAACACTGGTTTTCACCTACATGTACTGTAACTTTGAGTGCAATGTTGCCCTTGATCTAGTTGTGACCTTGGTCTTTCCACATCTGGGTTCCCAGGATTATGACAGAAGACACTGGTGCCAATTTTGAATCATCCAATGTCTCAATTGTCTTACAAATTCACACACAGTCATCTTGAGATTTTTTTTCTGCATTAGATCATAGTAAACAGATATATAGACAAAGTGTTTGGAATACGAATTTTCAATGGGAAGAAAAAAATGCACAATGTGACAATTGGACTCTTGGTAGATTCATGCAACAAATTGAAAACAAAAGGGGCAGGCTTGGATCACAACTCTTTATCTGCCATCTTAGCTATCTGGATCACCCCGTGCTTCTTACTGCATTCTTACTATTACATTAAGAACCTTGCATTCTTACCTGAATTGCCCTCTGGCCACAAAGATGAGATGATGATGATGGTAACAACGATGGGAGAGGGGCACTACATATATTGCCTTGAGTGCCCTGAATATATATTACATGCTAGTATGGTCCAGATTTTCCAAATCAGATATACTTCAGATTAATTCTACTTTCAATTCAGATGTGTTGGACTTCTCAATCAACATTCTCAAAAGGAATTACAGCAAAATTGGACATACCTGCTATAGTGCCTTCAAGATTGTTAGTGTGATATCCATGAAATGTGCACAATACGGTTTGACATTAGGCTATACTGTAGGGAGCTACATTTATCTGCAATAGAAGCCATATTAGGGCTACCTCAATCAATGAATTCTGTTCAAATGTTTCCAGAGTATGGTCCACATCTCCAGGGCTTGTATTTGTATGGGTTTTGCTAACATACAGACTGTAGTAGCCGTTCCTTCTGCTGGACATAGAAAGGTTTGGTCTTTTTAAAATGAACTCTGGAGCAGTCTGTGGAGCAAGGCTTGGAAAAGCACACAGCTGCCATTGTTCTCCATCATTTCTGATTTAACCTTCAAGTCTCTAAGGAATTGGTGAAGGTCACAAAAGGAAAGAGAAGACCATTGCTTTCAAAAACATTTCATTTTATATAGAAATAAGTATAGGTAAACACATCTGGCCAGGAACTTTCAATCTTTTAAAAGTCCTGTTTTCTCTATGGTGCAAAGTCAACTCTCTCTTCAAGTTACAGAATGCAGACTTTAAATTTGCTGCATCCGTATTTCAGGCATTTTAATGAAGATATTCGTTGTTTGTAATAATAATCTTAATGCTTTACTATATATATCAGAGACTGTGGCAGAGAGACGTATGTGCATTTTATAGTCTATCTGGGACATTATATTTCTTTTGGATTTATTTTCTTCTTACCAATTTCCCTGTTGTTGCTTACTCATGACCCCAGGCATTTCTGTATTTTATTCACCACTAAATGCTTGTAATTTAATATTTAAAGTTAAAAAAAAAATATTACATTTTTACCTTTTCTTTTTAAAAAAACTGCTTTTGTTTATTTGCTGCGAGATTGGTTTATCTTCCAAATGGAGGAAGAAAGGGCTGAATCTTCTAGTCAGGCCTTCTACCTAGCCAGAAGGTGGCATTGTTGAACTTTCTTTCTTTCTTTCTTTCTTTCTTTCTTTCTTTCTTTCTTTCTTTCTTTCTTTCTTTCTTTCTTTCTTTCTTTCTTTCTTTCTCATTTTTACCTTTGTATTACCAAAAAAGGCAATACAGGATGTGAGAACCCTACCACTCTTATACACAAAAATTAGAGAGTAGACACCAGGTGAGACTTTCATAGAAAACGGTTGGCAGCAATAGGAGTTAACAAATCGATACCTCAAAGCAGGAGGCAGTACTAGGCGATCTCTGGGGTTGGAAGTTTGGGACCTCCAACTTTCCATCTGTAGGCCCAACTGTCTTCAGACAAAGAGCTGAAAGCCTCTGGAACACAAACTAGAGGTAGTCCACGTCTTACAGCTACAACTGAGCCCAAAATTTCTGTTGCTAAGAGAGACCGCTTTAACTGAGTTTTGCCCCATTTTACAACCTTTCTTGCCGCAGTTAAGTGAATCACTGCAGTTGTTAAGCAAGTGACCTGGTTGTTAATCTGAATCTGGCTTCCCCTTTGATTTTGCTGGTCAGGAGGTCGCAAAAGGCGATCATACGACCCCGGGACACTGTAACCGTCATAAATAAGAG